TTCAGCCGGGAAAAAGAAGTGTCACATAATTCACAGCTTTCATATTGAAAAGCTTTTTCAACCTGGCTCTTTTATTCTTCATATTAGTACATAGAGAATTTTTTATTGTTCTTGGCGCTGTTCTGCTTTCCGCCAAAATGGATGGGTTTTTTCCTGCAACGATGTTCATCAAGTTCAACAATGTAGTTCTGGGAGCTGAGGGTGAAAGTCTAAGGCAAACAGAGTTTGTCACAAATCCTACACCTTCTAGCTGAAAGGCTGACAGTTTTGAATGGCTGGATGAAAGCGCCACGCAGAAAAGAAACCTTATTTACTTGCATTAAAAAGAATGGAAATATTAAATAAAAAAAAAACTCAGTACAAATAATAACAGCATTCCTAGGGAGAAAGCAACAGAAGACAAACTACAGCGGGCAGTGCCGCATTGTTCTGGTGAAAACCTCCAAAATCGTACACATCATTACGGGGTGGGTTTGAAAAGACCGTGCTGATGGCAAACTCACTTGGGCGCACGCAAGACTGTACTGCAACCCTGTCGTGACTAGTTATGAAAAGTTTAAATAATTAGACAGTGGGTTACCCTCAAGTGACCCCAGCATGGTCCCAAGGCACGAATTTGAACTCAAGTAACCCCGTGGGCTAATTAGTTGACCTCAAGTAACCCTGTGGGCTAATTGTTTGACCTCAGGTGACCCCCAGCATGGTCCCCAGAGAGTGAGTTTGACCTCAAGTAACCCCGTGGGCTAATTGGTTGACCTCAGGTGACCCCAGTGTGGTCCCTAGACAGGGAGTTTGACCTCAAGTGACCCCATGGGCTAATTGGTTGACCTCAAGTGACCCCATGGGCTAATTGGTTGACCTCAAGTGACCCCAGCATGGTCCCAAGGCATGAATTTGACCTCAAGTAACCCCGTGGGTTAATTGGTTGACCTCAAGTGACCCCAGCGTGGTCCCTAGAGAGGGAGTTTGACCTCAAGTAACCCCGTGGGCTAATTGTTTGACCTCAAGTGACCCCAGCATGGTCCCCAGAGAGTGAGTTTGACCTCAAGTAACCCCGTGGGCTAATTGGTTGACCTCAACTAACCCCGTGGGCTAATTGGTTGACCTCAGGTAACCCCATGGGCTAATTGGTTGTCCCCAGGCATCCCCAGCGTAGTTCCCACAGCTTGAACTTGAGCTTGTTTACCAGTAGCGAGTTATTCTTTTCTTTTACGTATCACCTCAAGGAACCCCTTTCTTCATTTGCTCTGTCACGTCTTCAGTAAGCAGCGTGGAGCTCTGCTCTCCTGCCCCCCCCGCAGCACCTCGCGCGCGCAGTTTTCTTTGGGGAGCACGAGGATGCTGCTGCTGCGTTTGGAGCAGAAGGGTAAAAGATCTCGAGCTCTGTCTTTTCTGTCTGGTACAACTGAATCTCTGCGGCCGTCTGTCCGTGCGTACCTTCACCTATAGCAGTTGCAGATTCAGTTATGTGTTGAAAAGACATCGGCACAGTTTGAAACTTCAAAACAAGGCTCTACTAGACTGACATTCATTGGCAGTACGCATGGCCGAGGATTAGTTCTTAATCACCATCAACACACAGGCAAACAATTAGTCCTTAACAAGCTTGTCCTAAATTAGCCGTGAGTATAAAACAGCAGAGAGCGAGAACCCAGGGTTTAGTCATTGTGTCTTGGAGTTGGTGCTGTGGTATATATAGCTTTTGAGGTGAGGGGGAAAGAGTATTTTTTGGTGAAGGTAAGCCAGACCTGAAGTATGATACCTTCTTTTCTTCTTTTTTTTTTTCTCATTATTTATTGGTGGTTTATTCTTCTCCTTCCACCCTTTGAGAGAATGGGGCACAGCACACCTCCTCTTGACTGAGTTGGTTTCTTTTTGCAACCAGGACTTGCTTTGTGGGTTTTTTCCCAACATTTTTCCTGTTGTCCTGTGGGGTTACTTTGCCTTCAATTAGTATCTTCTCTACCTACTGTACGTGTGGTTTTTTTCTCTCTTTCACTTTACTTCTACTTGTTTCCGATATTTCACGTGTGCTTGTCGTCTTCTTTGTGCTGACTTATTCTGTGTATGTTTTTTCTTAGCTATTTCGTAAAATGCCAATTGCTGATTTTGCTGTTAGAATTTATACCATGCTACAAAATGCTTCCACGCAGTCACTAGTTATATTATTTTAGTGCGCCCGCGTCTGTGTTTAAGCCTTATCTCTTGCCTAACTTTTTTCTACTCTTTGTATGCAACAAAGCCTTTAGTCTTAGGACTTGGCTCACCCTTGGGTGAGTGTGGGCACGTTCCCTTCCTATTTGCCATGAGCCATCCAAAGTCCTGAAAATGAAGAGCAGTGAGAGACAAGTTCTAAATTCTTCATCTTGGTGTGTCTGTATCTCACCTGGAGAAAGGTGAATGTTGCCTGAAATTAGGAGGAATGAAGTGGAAGGCATGGGACTTCTGTCCTGACATAGAAAGGAGGCAGGAAAGGAAAAGCTATTTTTAGGTCCATGTGAAGGGACTGCCTAGCTCTGTAAACATTTGGGCCATTCCTATGGCTCACACTGGAACTGAGAGTTTCTCCAACACAGGCTGGACAAGCCACTCTTCATTAAACCCGCTAACAGGAATTCCTTCTTCCCTTTGTGCTCAAGACCTTATGAGAGAGAAAAAAAATCCCAGTCTTGCCATCTCTACTTGAGTCAAGGTCTCAAAATCTAGGGTTGTCTCGTGGAGGAGGAAGGGAAGAGGACACAAAATAAATGAAGAAGAAGAAAAATAAAAGCAAGAACTTATAAATAACCAGACAGCCCAGAATCCAGGTGCACTCATGCCTTAATGCCCAGACACAAGGGTTTTAGCAAAGCAGAGCAAAAGTACGTGCTGGGAAGACGGGGCTGGCTAGCCTCAGCTCAATTCCTCTCCATCTGCCTGGTGGGAGCCGTCCTCTTCACATCTAGTGCCGCATTTCGGAGGATGCTGGTTTTGGTTGCCAGCGCACACCCAAGAGACCTGCAGTGACATGCCAGGAGTGACAGGCAGCATGTCCTTCTGCAGAGCAGAGGGGACAACCAAGGGCTTTGCCCTAAGACCTTGGCTACAGTAGTTGAAGCTGTGGCTGAATCACCCATCACCTTGCTTTCAGTGGTGACCAGATGCCAAGATCAATGCTGGGGGAGTTGTGTGTTCTCCTCTGGGGATGCCTAATCAGGTGAGGGACGTATTCTGGCACTTAAAGTAGGCAGAGTAGGACTTCTGCTGCCAGCAGTCGCTGTGCCTTCCCACGGCATGCCTGGGAGCTTAGTGTCCCTCTACCCAGGTAGATACATAACAAGCCTTTCCTTTTCCAGGCACAACCTCCTCAAAATTTTAAGCGTGTATAGTTTTGTTGAATACAGGATACTGTAGGCATAACTTTTAGAACTTACTCATGTTGGAAGATGAGATTTGGATTGTGTAGCCTGTCATAAAATGAAAAATCTGCCTAGATTTCATGATCATATTTAATTATTACTTTATTTTGTCACTGTATGTTTATGCATGTCTCTTCTGTAGATCTTTACAAATGGATATAAGGCCATGTTGTCTGACACCAGAGTACATTCTTCCTCAGAAAAGAATACAGTTAAGAGAAAATATTTGGGGTGTTTTCTAGTTATGACCCAGCATTTTAGTTTTATTTCCCCTCTCTGCGTTAGGTGATTTATCTATTTGGGAACTCTCCAGCTGAACTGGAATGTGACTGCTTTAGGATAGGTTATGAAATTTTAAAAAAGCAGTATTAAATCAAAGCCAATAACCATTACAGAACTGTGATACTAGAAAATAGTAATAAGAATTGGTCATGCATTAAAAATCCACATCTATAGACACAAGTGTAGATATACTGTTAGAGAAAGGTACAGATTTAGCAGTATTTGGGCGGCTGTAAATACATAAAAGGATAAGGCTAAGCAGCATTTAATTTTAAAGCCGCATAGATTTTCACTGCTTTTATAGCTTTGGATGATGTGCTGTGCAGCTGCTGCTGGTTTGAGGGGACAAAAAGCAAGAAGGGAGTAGCAAAAGGTCTGAAGGAAAACCAGGCTCAAAATCCCTTTCCATTCTGCCTGCAAGTCTATACCTGCCTCTAAGAAATGGCTGCAGGTTTCCACTTCTGGTATCACAAGGTCTATTCAGCAAGCAAAGGTCTGACTATGGCATAGCAGTTCTAACACTCTTCTATTGTCATATGTTCTTAGAATCAATTTAGTTTGAGCAATGAGCAAGAAGTTATGTCATGCCCAATCTTTCCATCATTTTCTTTACCTTCTGGCAGTGCTTGGATTTGTTAACATCTTGGGCTTTCCTTTGCATCTTCCTGAAATAAGATAAATGCTTGCAAAAAAAAAAAAAAAAAAAAAAAAAAAGAAACCTGCAGAGGAAAAGAGAAGGAATGCAGAATTTAACACAGTTGGGTATGATTTCATGAAGACAAATCTACAAAAGAAAATTGATTGGTCACTGATGCAGTTGATATAATTACTCTGCTTCTAAGCTGTTATATTGATGTGTGTCTTCTCCTGTTCCTTCATCAGGAATACAATCTTTTCCTTATTGTATATCTATACAGCAAACTCTCCAAGAGAGATCTCGGGGTGCTCCATGGTATTTTACCCTAGACAAGAAACTTTCAAAGCAGTCTTAGTTTCAAGTTTTCACTCTTGTGGGTCACCAGTTCAGAGGGAAAAATGAATATGCACATTTCTGATGTGCTGTTAACAAAAAAATATCCCTTTCAAATGGTCTTTCATTCAACTTCTGAGTTAAAATTTCTTTACTGCAGCGTTTTGCTGAATTTCATCATAAAGATTGCTTGTTACCCATGCAAACTCAGGGACCCAGTTTCAGGTGGTTGACTGCAGGATTGAGGGTGTATTCCCAAATGCATAGAAATCCTATTAACTTCATACTTCAACTATGTCCTGAGCTTTGATGCTAAAACAGCTCAGCACTTATTTCCTTTTCCCTTTCAGAACGCCAGTACTGGGGCTCAGACCTGCAACTTCCCAAAATACCTTTTGAAGAAATCATGTACGATGACGAAAGTGCGTACAAGTGGCTGTGCACCCTAAAGAAAGTAGGAATTGTGCTGCTAACAGGAGCTGCTACTAGGCAGGGAGAGTTGGTTAAACTTGGCCACAGGATTGGGTTCCTGCGTCTCACTTTTTATGGGTGAGTTTGGTTTTTAATATCCTTGCTTTGCCAGCTATGTCATCACCCCTAATATATTTCACTTCAGCTTGCTGGACCTCTTTTGTGGATTCACTTATTAAAACAAGGGGAAATTTTTTCTTCTCTGCATGTTAGAAAATGTGGTGTCAATATTCTGTAGGAGAGGATTGTTTTGCTATCACAGGCAGGGTATGTAAAGAGCATCAGCTATGACATCTGCTGAGAGAAGGAAAAATGCCTGAAAACAGATGATGTCAAATAAAAGGTAACCACAAGATAGCTGTACTTATCTATACCCCAGAACAAAATAAAAAAATCCCTAATCCAGTCCCCTTACGAATAGAGGAAGTTATCTGTACTGAAACTCTTTCTTAGCCTGATTTCGAGCCATGGAAATGGGTAAGACTTAGATGACGTTATTATGTCTCTCATCACCAAGAAGATGGGCACAGTACCCATTTCTCTGCTTTCAACTGAGTCTGCTCTGAAAAGCTGCAACCAGTCCCAGAAAGCATTTTTTTTAGACTGCTTTTTTTGCAAAAGTAAGAGCTTAGCTGGCAGTGTTGCAGGATCAACATCATCCTGTTGATGCCAAGAGGTGGTAAACTGAACCTCTACCTCCTCAAGCCCCTACTAGGCGAGCAAACGAATGATGACGGTAGCTCATGTCTTTCTGAGCTGAGTCGGTGACCTCCATCTAGCTAAGGACAGGAGTAGCGTTATTAGCTAACATATTGCCCTGTCCCTCACCCCCAGCTGTTGGTATAATTTTTTACAATGCATATAAAAAACCCTATTATTTGGATGTGTGCTTATTCTTTTAAAAAAAAAAAGGCAAAAATAGATAGTAATATTTAAACATACTTGTTATTTCTTGGTGCCTGAGTAGCCACCAAAACCAGAATGTTCAGAGTTTCCCATCTGAAAAGGTCCCTTCTCCCCCATAATAGAACAAAAGATAATAAAAATTATGGCAAAAGTTCTCCTTCACTTAGATTTACCTCTAGTTCAGAACATAAGCAAACAAACCGTGTGGGTAATAACCAGTGTCTCCTCCTTTGTCTAAAAAAAAAAAAGCTAAAATAAATAGAATTGGGAAAAAAAATTCAACCTTGGCCAGAAAGATCACATTCCCTCAAGACTGCAGGTCAGAAAGAAAGATTTTCTGCCCCTTAACACTCCTACGTGAAGGCACATAGGAGCGCTGCTGGAATATGCAATGCAGGTGAGGTTGGTAAAAGCAGCACTGTGAGACCAGGAAAAATACGTTAACTTAGAATGTTAATTGTGAGGCGAAGGGGAGGAAGGTGAACAAAAGGTCCCTTCTTCAATCTGTGATGCTTATTAAGACTTACTGTTACATCTTCATTTTGCAAGTATTGTTCCATCATCAGCTATAGAAAAAGATGTCACTGATGCTGCTGGCTTTTAGATTTAGTGAACAATTTCTAAGAGGCAGAAAAATAGCTGTTGTGATATACTAGCAACTTCTAGCAGCATACAAGTTGCTTCTGACCCAATCTCCATCCTTCATTTTTGTTTCATTTATGTTGGAAGTCAATCTGTTTGTGCAGAATTTTTCCCCATGCTTCAAATTGGGAAAGCTGGCTCAAGGAATCTTCTAGAAATTGGCAGAAACTGAAGTGAACTCACAGCATGTAGAACAGCCTGTGAGAATGGCATTCTAAAATCTTTTTTTTTTAATTGTCTTCCAAAAAGAGGGGATATAGAGAATAACTACTTTAAAATACTATTAATATTATGAAGGTTTTTTGTCGGTTCCAGCTGCCATGTTAAATATGTGTAAAGCTTTAAAGGGAATAACATATAAATGTACTAGGGTAGTTAAGATAATGTACTTTCATTAAGGTGTGGTTTCCTCTTTCTGCTTACTGTGCCAGAAGGAAAAGTGGTTTTCAAAGTTCACTGGGGTTCAGTCAGGTTAATCCTACTGAAATAAAGGGGAGCAGAATCCCCTGCTTGACTTGGAAACCTCATCCAGTTCTAAGAAACATTTTCTACTGCTAAAACCATTCCTAATGTCAAGCACTTCTATGGTCTCAATTTAAAACTTGCATCATTATGAAAATACTACTGCTTTCCATTTCTGTTTTGATGCGATCCTAATAACAGATAACGAGGAGATTCTTAGGGGTATCCAATCCTGATCATATCTGAGGGTGTTTCACAGCTTTCCTTGGTATCTGAAGGATAAAACATTCATTCTGTTTGTATCCAGACAGCTGCACAAGCGTTTTGAGTTAGGAACGAATATAACAAAAAAATGTTGGTTCTTTGTTAAAGCATACCACTAAAAGAAAATATATAATATCTCCAAAATACCTCAGGGGAGAGGAAAAAAAAAAAAACATCAAGAAAACTAAACAACAACAACAAAAACCTGCCAACCCATACAACCCCTTCAATATATACCATGGATTAGTGTTTGGGTTACAACAGAACCTTTAGTTGCTTTCCTAAGTTTCAGGGATGAGGAACAGGATCTAGAAGAAGTTTGCAGATCCTAAAACTGGAAATGATCTTTAAATCTTCTAGACTAATGTTCTTGACATGGCAGCCCACTGTTTCACCTCTTGTCCATCTGCTGAGCCCTGTAACATGTTTTTCACCAAGGCATTCAGAAGTTTTTGATATTTAACTCAGCAGCATTTTAAGATAAAAATCTACCATTCTGCCTGGTACTCTGTCAGTTCTTAATCATCCTTGCTGTTTAAAATAACTGCCAACTGTCTGTTTGAAACTGTCTGCAACATCCAGCTTGTGATAACTCTGCTATATTTGAGAGACTAAAAAGTCCCTTACTGTGTAAATGTGCATTAACTGTTAGGATATACTTTCCTTGTCTAAGTTCAGCTAACAAGAGGTTCAGACTGCCCTAGGGAGACTTGCCAGTTTATCAGTTGTCATCGGAACGTTTGGGGTTTTTTTCCAGTTGAAAAAAGTTAGTCTTGCCCCTCACTGACTCTTCCCTAATACAATTATAAACAGTAATGATTATTAAATGCTTCACCTTATTTGAAGTCAATTTGAATTATTGTTTACTCTCTTTAAGGATGGTTTCAATAAAAGTAATTTGTCTGGATGAGTTCTGAGTCTTTGAGAGAGAGAGAGATATATATAGATATACATATATTTAGAAGTGTTTTAATGCATCCTACAAAGAACCTCCTGCCCATTAATGTTCCACACAAGATCAAGATTGAAATGTGACCTTGGTCCACACCATTTGAGCAAATAATGGTTAGAGCTCCTTTCACTGTTTAAATCAGATTTACTATTGGTGTTGATTAAACCTTATTTTTATGTTTCCTTAAGTATTAGCATTCACAATAAAGGAAGGATAAAAGGCTGTAAATCTTCTAGCTTTTCTAAAACCTATTTGTTAATTCATGTATTTATTAGGCTGCAGAAAGAGGGTTTCAATGTTATGGAAATTTTCCAATTACCTATGAATTCTGCATTTAAAAGAAAACATACTTGGTTAGTATATTCGGTTTAGTTGTATTTTGGTTTTTTTTTTTGCTTTTTTGCTTTTTAAGCTGAGCTGTTGTATTTGAAAATCTTGAAGTCTGGTTGACATTTTCCCAGTTGAGCCACCATGGTTAGATTTAAGTCATTTGACAGTTGCTAATTAGTTTCTGTGTATGATTGGGTCGATCTGCAATATTAAATGAAAATCTGAAGAGCATAAGGTCAAAGGGAGCCTGACATCCAAAGACCAGTTTTGCAGACTAGTCTGGGTTTCAAGTAACAAAAACCAGCTCTGCCACAGGGTGAAGTCAACAAGCTACGTACAGACCAATGTCCAGCTCTGTACAAAAGAGTGTATGCTCCAGTGCTAAAGGAAAGGCACGGTTATAAAAGGGGTACGATGTGTATGATACAATGTGCATATTAGCAGAGCCAAGACTTTTGGGGGAAGAACCAAAACTGTTGAAAACACTTTTTTTTTTTTTTTTCCAGAATATGTTGCCAGCTTGCAAGGAGAGAAAGTAACTGTATACACAAAGGCAGCTTGCTCTGGAGTTCAGAGCCAGACTCAGTGAGCTGATTTGGGGCATATTGCTTATGTCTTGGCTTTCATTTTTCCAGTTCAGAGATCAGATACTATTTAGTTGTCTCCAGGATGCATTGAAAGGATTCCTTTATTAAGGCCATACAGTAAAAGCAAACATAACACTCACAGTAATACAAATGTAAGCTGCCAGAACTGTACAGCACAATTATCCTGCTGAGGAGGTGTACAAGGTGAGTTTGTTACCCAGACAGATGAACCTTGACCCAAAGTTTACTTGAGTCATTAGAAGGATACTGCCTGCCCCTGCCATTGAGTTTTTCTGGCATTGGATGAAGTCTATGGGAAACATTTTACAAAAGCAATTATCACACGTGTGCGCGTGTGGTTTGCAGGCAAAACTGACAGACTGCTTCTGAGCATTGACTTCTCAATGCATTGTCAGGAGTTGTCAGTTTATCTTTTATCTCTGTTTAAGAGGAGTTTCTTTAATTGTGAAGGCTGTATATAGAAAGTTGGGTTGCAAAATATTAAACCTTTTCAAAAGAGTTGGCCTCCATTTTGCTGCACAGCTATCATCCAAGTCTCCCTCCTCCCTGGGCACATGCAAACATGTTACAGCCCGACATCTTCAGCAACGTTTAGCTGCTCTCATCACCATACTGGTGATGATAATGCTTTGAATTTGAACTGCTTTGAATTTTTTTTTTTTAATGACTCCTTAGACCATGTTTGTTCCTTAAGAACTCTGCTGGGAGCGGGGGGGGGGGAGTGGGAAGAGAGAGCAAGGAAATCCTAAAGTACTACAAAATACAAGCAGGATCACACATAAACTTTGTATTGTTACCTGTAGTGGTTTAAGAAATTATCCATGAAGTATTTTAAAAAATTAAGTCCCAAAACTAGTTTCAAATGTTTTCATACAGCTGTGTGTGAAGTGGTAGCATGCTAAACATATCCGAAAATAGGGAACTGTATTCAAACAGCTTAATAACCCAGTGTTTGCTAAATGTGTAAATGTGTAATTCATCACACGAAGTCCTGAAAAAGACTTTAATGGGTTTGGGTTATTTTTGGATATTTGGGGAGGTGTTTTATAAGGAACAAGTTTGGTGTTTGTTTGTTGGGGTTTTGGGGTTTTTTTTACCATGTATAGCTGGAACCCAGCCTAAAAATATTCTAGAGAAGAAAAGAATTCTTTCCCTGTAGTATCTTTTCTCCTAATTTTACCTGTTTTGTTTTCAGCTATAGTTATTGTAGTGCCTGGTCTTGTTGCTCTTACATATTTCTCGTAGTAGCAGAAACTCCATTGAGTTTTCAGTCTTAACAACAGACTTAGAACAGTATTTTACAGTCCATCTCTTCACCTTTAAAACAGAAGTTCATTTCTTACTGGCATCCAATTCTGAAGTGGCTTTTACAACTGTAATAAAATAATAACTTTGGGTAATTCCCTTGCTATTTCACTAGCAGCCAAATAGAAGGCCTACCAAATATTATAAATAAAAGGATAAATCTGGAATTGGCAAGCTTGCCAAATAAAACATTACCTCAACAGGGCCACGAATTTTAAACTGAAATGTAACAGCAATGAATATAACCCTGACACATGGAAAAACAAAAGCCTTTTTTCTTGTCTAGATGTCTGGTACATGCTGCTTAAAATGTCATTACTGTCAAAGGTGGACTGTGTCAGTCATATAACAACATCAAGGGGTTCAACCCTTTTAAATTAACCTTTTTCTTTACATTACGGAGGCACAACTCCGTTAGCAAGCTCTCCAGTCGTACCACGGTTCATTTCTCCAACTCCTCATGCCCTCGACCTTGTGCTCCTCCCCTGTTCTGAAGCCTTGGCCAGGGCTTGGGGGGGCAGGAGGGGCGTCCCTGGGGGTCCCAGTGCTCCCACCTGCACCTCCCAGTGGGCTTCAGCTGCAGGAGAAGGATACGGGTCCCAAATCTCTTATGAATGAGACTTGGATGTTTAATAAAGGGCAAGACCAGGTGATTCAAGTGTGGCTTCAGTTCCTGGTGCAGGGGTTTGCCAGGCTAAGGATGTAAGAGGCAGGCTAGTTGTCTGCTCAAGGCGACTGAGACCACATTGACACTTAATGCAAAAAATTGCTACACCTGCCTGGTGCCAAATTTCCTCCTCTCTCAAACAGCCTGAGCAACTGATATTGAAATCTGTCCCTAATTACGAAACCATAAACCATTGAACTCTGCTTTGCTCTCCCTAAGGGCCAAGAGTCCTCTGCCCTTACCCACATTTTCTTCCTTTACTTCTGTGCCTTCTCCCCACGACAGAGTTGATACTTCAGCTCGGTTAAGACTTTGACAAAGTAAGGTTGATTTTTTTCACATTTAGCACTGAGGTCCCTATTAACATCTCTGACTTCAAGCCAGTAACTTGAGCGTTGACCGAAGCTCCTTGCGTGGAAGGAAGCTCCCGGTGACCAGCTTTTCTTGCAAAGCGTACCAGCACGAAAGCACCGACTGCTTCTGCAAAACTTTACAATGATTTTATACAGTACTACCATTCCAGCAATTGTATATATTGCATATAAATGAGACAATTAAAATACGTTAAATTGGTTTAGATCCATCAAGCGACACGGGAGCCTTTTAAAAGAAAGATACAGTGAACCTAGCTACCTTCAACACTAATGACAAGGACGATATAACAGGCTATTTTTTGGCTGTAAAATTGGGAACTACGGAAGTGTGGTTGAAATTATCATACTTGAGTACTGAAGTCATGTACTGATGAATATGTGCTGTACCAAATAATAAAAATTATTTCTCCCAGGCAGTTAAACACATTTGCCAATATTCAAGGGGGTTTTCCCCCTAGCAATTTCAGAAATTTAGTTTTAGCATTTTGCATAGTTTCTATACTAAATACCACTCCTAGAACAAAAGTGTTTGTATACTCTATGTAATCGTTTTGGTCTGCGTGTTCTTTAGCCTATTTTCTTTTCAAACTATTATTAAGAAGTAATGCTAGACACACACCATCTGAAACATAATATATGTGGTCTTCAATCACGTGAACTCTGTACAAATAAAACATGTGGTTCTTGGTCTGAAATTCTCCTGCATGGTGTGTCACTCGAAACAGATTTTGATTGTGCTGCAACGTGATACATTCATGTCTTTGTCATATAACTAAGACTTTTTTTTTTCCTGTGGTCATCAGTAAATTTTCTTACTGAATTTTGTCAAATTTCAAGGCAGAAACTATGTAACAAAATAAATGGGGGTAGTTCTCAGAAAGAGCATCAGAGGAAGGGAAGAAGTTACAAAGTCTTCCATCAAGACATTTTCCTTTAGCGGCAAGTCTTCAAGTTACAGGAAAGATCCCCCTGCAAAGGATACTCTGTATTTTCTAAGGTCATAAAGCTTTAAAAATAATTCGGGGAGAAAGTAACGTAGCTTTTAACAATTTCATATTTCATTGATAATGCGCTCCACCTAGCAGGGGAAAATGGAAGTTTGATAAAAAGAAATGGGCCAACTTCCACTCCCTTTTTCTGAAGCCTCAGAAATAAGATGATGATTTATCCTAGCAGATACCTCTTGGTTAGTGTCTTCAACGGATCTTTGCATTCAGCGAAGTACTGCCACTGGGAAGCCATCGTTCTTCCAGGTACCGCGCTGCGGCCAGGTGTCCCTTGGCACTCTTCAGTTTCTAGCCTGAATCTAGGACTGCTGAAATAAGCTGCCTTTGCTGGGGTGGGGGGACACTGCTAAATCATTATTTCCTTATAATTCTACAATATTTTCATGTTCAAAGATGGACTGACTCTTTTGTACTGTCATTTCAGAGTTTCAATGTATACTGTCTGGCATGCTGGCTGGCTGTTTTAACATGTTTTCTCTTTTCCCTTTCATTATAAAGACCAACTTGGCAAGTGCAAGACAAAGCAGATGCTAACAATGTGGCTTATACAACTGGGAAACTATGTTTTCACACCGATTACCCTGTTCTGCAGCATCCACCTGGGGTAAGGTGAATCTGCTGACTTTTTCACAACACAAAAGGGGAAAGGGAAATGTTCCTATAGCGTGAAATATGGTTAGCATTCAGTGACTCCGAATTTTGTCTTAAAAGAGCAACGTAAAAATAACGATACATTAATCTGCATGTAACAGTCTATATACACATGGGTATGCAATATATACATTCTGATGTGTGTTCTGTATAACAAGCCCATTATGTGTCCTGTAATTTTTAAATGGAATTCACATATGTGAGAAAACATTAGAGTCCTGTATGTGTTTTTGGTACTGCTTTCGTTACATTCAGAAAGTTAGGTGTCTAAATGCTGTAGTCAGGTTGACATTTTAGGACTCATCTGTTCACCTCAGGAGGGGAACGTGTTAGAAGAAATATGATTAAGAAGTTAGATTCTGTTTTCTGTGAATGGATTGAAGTTAGACACTTACTTGCCCTTTCATAATAGACAAAAAAAAAGGGGCATTCTGAAAAGCTGGACAGCCACCACAGAAAATATGTTTTCACTTAGTCCTTGCCATATCAAAGTCTAATCCACAGAGTTCACCAGAGAACTGGAAAGTAGTAGAAACAGGTACAAAGGAACAACGATAACCCTGGAAAAGCTGGCATCTATAAAATTGCCCCTTCTAATGTTGTGGAGTACTTTGTATCAGTTATTTCTATAATTAGACAAAAAGCCAATGTGATTTATCCACAAGTAAGTACAAATACTTCACACTAACATCACCTTTTATAATCATTTAGATACTGTTCGTTAATGTGGAATAAGAATGGAATAGGGCTTCATTAATAGCGAGCAGATATGAATTAGCTCACTGTCTTGTCTGTGCCAGAGCTCACACTCTGCTATGAAACATTAGAAAAAAAGCATAACCTTTTTCATTCAAACATGCTTGTAAGAAGTAAAAGTATTAAAGCACATATTGAATTATTTTTGAACATTGTCCTCAATGTGCAGTTTTCTTCATTTATCTAGTTATTACACAATATTTGAATTCTTAAGATGTATTCATTACAAATATTTGAAGAAATGTTTCTAAATGGATGATGATTAGTTTCAGAACTGTCCCATAAAAATAGCTTTAGGATTTCCTGGGTTTTCATCTGGCAACTATTTTTCCAGGAGATATCCTGATTTAAAAAAAAAAAAAAAAAACCTACCGATGATTAGATCGAGCAGATACATCATCTCTCCAGAACGTAAAGCTAAATTCTCATTTGAACTAAATTCCCCCTTTGAACTTTTCCAAAGTCATTTACCATGAAGTACATTACTGCAGCCCTCCTTAGCAGTGCCAAGCTGTGCTTGCCCTGCGCAAGGCTGGCCGTGACCACAAAGGAAAAAAGCTCGTGGCCTTGTGCTCCCTTCGGTGGGAGCCCTGAGTCCTCCCCACAGCTTGTTGGCCAAAAGGAGCATGGCAGGAGGGGGGGAAGCTGCTTCATCAAATGAATAAACTACCTTACGTCCTTTCTAAACAAGTCCCCCTTCTGCACTCTTGGTTATTTCAGTGTCCCCTTTCATCACCATCACCAAGGACCGCGGGTCCAGCTGGTGAGGACATTCTGGGGCAAATGCTGTTCTCTGCTCCTTTTTCTCCTCCTGGGTTTTTTTGTCTCTTTTTTTTTTTTTTTTTCTCCTAGTGGTCTCAGAAATAATAATTCACCATCATGAACGCTGTTACCATTAGTGTGACAGATGTATTTTGTGTTGTTTGGCTGAGATGAACGCTTACACTTTGTGTGATGCTGGACTCCCTAATCCACGGGGATTTTTACCGCCTATGTCAGTAGCTCAGATTTACACTGGGGCAACCGAGAGCCCAGTTTTCTGCTCCGTCTTATGCCTTGGCACTTTCACTGTGAGGTGAAATGAAACTGTCTTAATCCTGCTTTATCATAGAGACACTGGGCCTGTTGCCTTCAATGACAGCCACCTTTTCCCCCTCTGTGAGCAGGTAATTTACAGCAGGTTTTGTTTCTGCAAGAGAAAGCTAATCCTCCTTGTTGAGATAAGACTGCAATGCATTTAAAATTGTATGGCTGCTACCAAAAGGGACTCAAAGGAAAGAGGCGAGACCAGAGCTTTGCAGTTGACTCGCAGGTTGCAAGCATTAGAAGATATCCCAAATGGGATGGATTTATGAATGCGCTACTTTAATTTGCTGCCTTTGTGATAGCGGTGGCAGAGGGCTGTGAAGCTGCAGTGATGGGAACTCAGTCTTTCACTGAAAAAAACCCCAAACAACCCCAAACCAACCAAAAAACCAGAACCACAGATATGAGGGAACTGATACTAATGAACTGTTAAATATGCAGGCTAATTCTTTTTGTAATGAGATGTTAATTAATTCCAGGTTCAGTTTCTCCATTGTATAAAGCAGACGGATTCAGGAGGTGAAAGTGAAGTTGTAGATGGATTTCACGTATCCAGCAAGCTGAAGAAACAAAACCCTCAAGCGTATCAGATCCTGTCCTCTACTGCTGTAGACTATACAGATGTTGGGGTGGACTACTGTGATTTTGCTGTGCAATGTAAACAAAGGATTATAGAGTGAGTAGTTTCAACAACATCGAAAAATAAACCCCCTGTTTTATGGTGGAGTTCATGTTGGTAGGAGAAGGTGTGCTCCTGCCACCTTGTGGGGAAACACTGGTTTAACTTGGTCTGTAGTTATTTGGGGGTTTGGGGCATTTGGTGTTTGGGTTGGGTTTGGTTTTTTGGTGTGGGGTTTGTGTGGGGGTTTTTTGCCGGCGTATGACTTGCTCTGTGCTTTGTACCGCCACAGCACAGTTTTCCTTGTTTTGCCACACTAGCAAGAAGTGGTGATAATTAGAGCAACTCCTAGGTAGAGACACAGGTTAACGGCAGCTGGATCTGTTACTAAATTCCAGCCGATGTACATCTGTATCGTGCCAAAGAGAGGTCACAATTTGAAGCATTTAGATTAAGAACTATATACTATAAAAAGATCAAATGCAAATGTTAATAATCTCTTCTGCATTTAAAAACTTTATGATTCTACAATTAAAGAGTATAGTACATAGATTTTTGAGCAAATTAAGCGTCTACAGTTTCTCCTGATTATTCCCTTTTCCTAGTTAGGCTTAATTATCAAAATACAACCCAATAACAATCTGAACTTCAGTACAGAAACATACTGAAATTCCAGCAGCAGAGCTCAGTTGTTGTTTAACCATCTTAAAATGTTTCAGTAACAACATAATACATTCTTTTTCCTTTCCTTCTCTGTTTCATAGCGTGGATTCCAGAGGCCAAGCAGTTCGCATCAATTATAATAATGCAACAAGAGACACAGTGTTTGACATACCAGCTGAAAAAGTGAGGCCGTTTTATGCAGCTCTAAAGGAATTTGATGATTTATTAAACAGCACAGAATACAAGTTTACTTACAAGCTGAAACCAGGTCAGTAAGTTGCTTCTCCTCGCAATGATTTTTTACATGTTTTTCCTAACAGTCAAAACACTTGAGCGTTGTTAGCATTGGTTCTGAGAGGAAATTTCAGTCCTTCTATCACCTATTTTATTTCATACTGCATCATTACATTCATCTCATAGATTTCTTTTGCCATTTTTGTACTACAAAGGGGGGAAAAAAATGGTGGGGCGAATAGAGTCTATCTATTGATTAGTCCAATGTATCTTTATACTACATCAAAACCCCATACCGTATAGGAAATTGTAACTTGTCATATCAATAGCACTACAGATGGGAAATATCATGTGTAAGACTGCTGTGCCAACCCAATTCACTGTCTGGTCATTAAATGGTGCACAATCACATGCTTTTTCCTCTGCTTCATTTGATGCAGAGTACGGATGTTAAGCCAAATGATCCATCTCTCTTTATGACACTTTAATTTGTTAGTGGGACACCTTCCCAATGGCTGCAGGAGTTGCAAAACATCTAGAAGATGGTACAGATGCATAATGCGCATAACGCTGCAGGAAGCTGAACAGCTCCGTGGGGAATTTGGTTATTGTCTTTGCTTAGACACCGAATGCCAGCATAATGCTGGATGAATTACCGAGGGTCACTGCTGCTCTGCTGCTTTTTCTGGGTGGCCTGTGCAAGACATCTGGAAGCAGACTTGCAGAAGTGCTCTAAACTTCAGCTAGAGTTGTACAGGGATGTGTTTTGAGCATAAAACATGCTGCAAAACTGCCCTTTACTCTTTAAAAGTCAGTCTGTGCATATATTTTAACTCATTTGGCCTTAATTTCTGTTCTTTCCAGCTCCCATCTCCCCAGCTATAAAATAAAGATATGAATAGTCCCTCATTTTTCAAGAGATTTTACAAAAGTAAATTCATTAGTGTATCTGACTGCCTCAGGTACTATGATGATAGAGTCTTTAAAATGTCTATGAGGAAATGAATCTCTCTCTGTTGGGAACATGCAATAAAATAATTTATAAGATCACATAATAAATGGTAAAACAAAGTACCTCACATTACATTAGTACCATCCATCCCATCAATTAACGCACCAAAATGGTGGTAGAGGGGAGGGGGAGAAGGAAAGAAAGATTATAAGGTTATTTAATTAGAGATTTATCATAACAGTGGCACACAAGGGAGAAAAATTAAAATGGCGTGCTATCTTTAATTATGTGGTTTCCTAACTTTCAATGGCTTGACTTTGTTCTCATAAAATTCTTTTAACAGGGATGGTAATGCAGGATGAGTACAGTACAAATAGTACCAGACTGATCAAATAAAACTCATCCTAGTGGCTTTCACCCTTTTTATCATTTTGGTGATTTGCTGTAGTCGCCTTTCCCCTCAAGGCCCGCTTTTCTCAGCGTGGACTCCCCTGCCACTCCGCTTTTTAACTCCTGGTTGTACAAGAAAAGAAGCAGAGGCCAAAAGGGACCTGCCCTCTCTGGTTGAGAATGACCAGCTAAATTAAAATTACTGTGCCGTTGCTGTGTATCTCCAGCTGAGCTACTTGAAATTCTTGCTCCCTAACTGTTGATATAAATTTACCTCCATGTTATCTGTTTGAAGGAATCGGCTATAACACGCCAAATATTGAACTTTGTGCAATCTCATTACAGGAGACATAGTGACGTTTGATAACTGGCGCGTGCTTCATGGTCGCCAGAGCTACCAGTCGGGATCAGAAGTGACTCGTCACCTGGAAGGTGCCTATGCAGACTGGGACGTGGTCATGTCAAGGCTCCGGCTCCTCAGGAAGAGGGTCCTGAATAAGGACTGAGCTTTCTTCTAACTAGAATGAGCAAAATCTAGATTGTCTAACCTCAAAAAAAAAAAAAGGAAAGAAATAACCATGTTTTCTTGTCAGAAACTAACATCACAAATATATTTTTGCGTTCCGTAAGCTAAGAAACCTGTTGTTCATAACACTTTAAGATTTATCTGTGCCCTGGTCCTTGAATCTATAAAATGCATTGCTACCTCTGTCAGTTTATTTGCTTTTTAAAATCAGGGTGCAAAATGGCTTGAAAGATTATCACCTTACTGGGCTGACTGGGTATCACAATGCCTTCCTTTGCCTCCACAAATGTACATGCCCTCCCTAGAAAGCTTGGAAGGCAGCATCAAAACAGAGCTTAAAGTATTGCTTAGTAAAGGTTTGTTATGAATAGCGCCTTCCTCTATTTTCAGAGAGGCATTCTTAGTTGCATAAATCATAACTAAAATTCATTATCAAAATCAACAACCGCTGCTGTGGAGTTATTTTTATACACACACCTTTCTAGGTAGACCTCCACTTTAATATGAAATGTCATTCAATAGATGCTGTATTCTGTATACCCCGCTGTACATGTGATGACTATCACAGCCACAAATAATTTTCCTACATTTCTAAGTCCATAAGCTCAGAAATGATAGAGCTACCAGAGAACGCATCGTATTAATTTTCCTCTGCATTTGGAATAGAAATAAATCTCGGTGTAGAGGTCACAGATAGGGTCAGAAATCCCATCCGATGCTGTGCACAAGCATAATTAATTTCTGCAGGGCAGACAGACTTTTGAGTAAAGTCAGGAGGAGGAATGCTGATGCTGCTTGGCAGCTAGAAACCGCAAAGCACAAGAGGTGGTTATTGACTCCGCACCTGACAGAGAGGTGGCAACTGAACTCGGATCTATTTTTGTTACACCAAATACAAGAGCACACCTCTGATAGACTTGGTCTGCAGGATGTTTTCCTCTAGGTTGCATTCTGAATAGAGATTACGCTATGTAAAAATTACTGCAGCCAAAGTAGTGGGGTTTTTCCCTATATTCAGATGCCAAACTGAAAGAGTTTTAAAATACTTGGTTTTATACCCAACAATATGTCCACGGAGTTTATTTTTCACTGTCCTTATAGCAGCAGAGTTAAGAGGACGCCCTCTCACCGGACAAAAATACTACACCTCCACCCTCAGGTCTGCTCTGTTCAACTGTTTATTTTCAAACTATTCCTTGAAAGTCAAATAAATCCTAGTCTCTTCCTAGTAGGCTAAAACAATACAACTGTAACTACAGAATTAAAAAACTGTAGAATTAAATTTGTTGACACAAAAAACCTTAACATCAGCGACACCCTCACATCAGCTTGCAAACATTTCCGTAGCTTCTACTCATCATTGACAGTCAACAGATATCTCAGCTGAATAATCAAATAAAAATAAATCAGGCTTTGGTTGTGACCTAGCATAGTGCAGTTCAAATCCATTCCTCTTTAGTAAATAGTGAAATGTTTTTATCAAAGCTAAGACATAGCATAAGAAAACTGGCTTTTAGTGGTCGTTTGATTTCCCAGTACCTCCGTTAATAATTAATTTTGGAAACATGAGGAAAGTATTTTTTGCCTTTGCTATAAAAGGGAGAAAGGATGAGGAAACGTTAATACCTATATTCTGTAAGACACCAGCAGTACTGTGCTTTAACTGTGATATTTTCCGTAGAACAATTGAATGAAGATTGCAATTTATAACTTTAAAACAAGACATCTTGGGATTTATACCAATGGTTAATAGGGAAGAGGTATTTTCTGCTTTTATTCTGTACTTTTCTAAAAACTGTTTTATTCAAATATCTGTTTATTAAAAGCTATTATGAAACCGATTACTATTTGGGGCTCTGATCTAATCTTGCACATAAAACATCTTGCACACAGATACGAAGTCATTATTGTCATTTACAAATATTTGTAAATATGATTAGACCTGGATCCATTCAGGTTTGTCCTGTATACTTAACATATAGTTAAAATACAACTAAACCCATAGCTTTGAACAGCTGTGGGGAAAACAAAAACCAAATCAAACCAAACCAAAAATTTAATCAAGGTTCTCAGTGGATCTAATTTTGCACTGCTGGGACTTTCTGGCAGTGAAGTATGCCCTATTAAAAACTCACGCAAGAGATCCCTTGAAGTTCATAACTTTATGCCTGAGATATGTTGTACATCATATACTCGCACGTCCTTGAACTGTCCGTATTTCCCCAAAATATGTAGTATCGATGTTAAATAACTAATAGTAATTTTTAAAAAGGCAGCTTTACAGATCGCAGGTGTATGCCATATACACAGGCAAGACGGGCGGGTGTAGGAGTGCTGTAGCTCCAGGTTCCCAACAGCACAATCACCCTGCTTGCATGCAATTTTCAGCGTATAAATCCTTCAGTATCCTATATAAACATAATTCAAGCTGCTGTATATTCAACAAAGTATTTCACACAGAATGGAGTACAAATAATAATAAAAAGTGTTCATCAGTGGAAATCTGAAGTCCTGCACAAACAAAATCTAATCCCCGCAACACCTCTGTGAGCTATGGCACAATACCCAATTTAACTGGGAAAGGGTCAGACTACCCACGCAAACCTGATGCACAATCATCAAAAGTTATGTTTATGGCTGCAAACCCTCTGCTCAACTTCTCAGATCCAGCTACTACCTATATCACAAAATTTTAATTCTAAACACCTTTGCATATTACTATAGTTGTACTGGGAAATTAGAGTATTTCTGTTACCTATCAGCAAAGTAGATCTGATGACTATACTGATACCTGGTCAGGCTAAATAACGGAGGAAGCCCAAGATGGATTTATTCCCCTTCATCTCCAAATCCGCACCAAAGAATGACATTGCAAAGCTTTCAGCTAGGTCTGGCGTCTGCTCTGCCTGCACGACTGACATGCGCAGGTCACCCAGCGCGGGTACCCCAGCCTTCCCAGTCTGCCCAGCCCAACCTTCTCTACCGTCTTACAGCAGCAAGAAAAACGAGCTGGTAGGAGGTGTTTGCAAGACAGCTCTGAAGAAGCTTTGGGCTGTATCCAGAGGGTGCTAACGGACGTGATTTCACTTAGCTGGTTGTAGTCCAGAAGCTGTAACGCCACATTACCTTTGTGCTGTCCATGATACATCAACTGTCAGCAGCCGGCTGCATCTCGTGGGCTCCCAGCACAGGTGGAGAAACAGGGAAGACATGTATCTGTTTTATTATTTGCAAACACCTTTTCTCTTTTATCCTCTCTTTTTTCTCCTCCCATTGCATTTTGTAACGACGGGCGTTGGATCCGATCCCATGGAATTGTTTTCATGTACAATTTTTAAGATATTTTGTATAGATCAGATTTCCAGCTAGTTTTTAAAGCTTGCTGAAAGCAAACAGCGTCTTGGCCGTATCAGTACAGTCACATCTCTGGGGATCACTTCAGCACAGCTCCTCTTTAGCCGCTGCCGAGCTACCCGCAGCACGTGCCAACTTTTTTTGGCTGGGTGGACAGTAAACTCATGTCCAGAGAGATTTCCAAATGCCTATTGTGGGAAGGAAGCTAGATTAGCTGCCCGGCTTTGCAAGTTGAAATAATTGCTTTATATATGTCCAGATACATCTAACATGTTATGTATGTATATGTAAACACACAGAGGGTCATGTTACCCAGCGGCATAAGCAGATGCAGTCAGGTATTTCTATGCAAAAACACATTTAGTGATTAGGCTCAAACTCCATCGGTACTTTCAGGTTTATGTGCTGTATTCATTTTTACTGTAAGTTAGAGAACTAGCTATACTCATTAGAAGAACGATCATTTTGCGACTGAGTCTTCCTTACTTTAAAATACCTTCAGCTTCTAACTTATTTGTACAAGTTGACAGTGTATAGAGCACATACTTACTGCTGCTTAAAATTCACACTTCTGTAAATTCACAGCAAATTAAATGCAGCCTTTCATCACATGTGCAATATGTTACTCCTGGAAAATATGTATTTATTCTGCACTGTGTTTTTTCTCTGACACAAATCAGAGAAAGTACTTACCGATCTTGTCTCAAATTCTCCTTAAGGCAAATGAGTTTTTATTCTAATCTGCACATTCATAAAGCTAACTGTCAGTTTGGGGCAAGTCCATATTTGAAAGTTTCATGCTAGAAGTTGGAAATCACTTTTGGTAAAAGCTAACATAACAAATATATTTTATACACACATTTTAAACTAACAGCAAAAGATCCCCCCACCCTGTTATGCCAGTCTGGTAGCACAAAAAATATGGTAGAGCCTAAGACTCAGAAAGAGCACAAAAATCCCCTTTAAAAAAAAAAAAATCCACCCCACGCCAATGCAAAAAGGAAAATAAATCACAGCTGCTCATAAGAAACCTATTTTTCTATACAACATCTGATTAAAGTCTAGAAAAGGAAATTTTCAAACCCAGGGAGCTAGGTGATGTAGCTAGAAAACAGCCATAGTACCAAACTTGAACTAAAACATAGACGTGGCAGCTATATGGATGTTTCTGGCTGAAACCAATCTCATTATTGGACACGGGATGAGATCTGAGGGAAGGGAGCGAGGGCATTTTCCAGCCACCCCTTCTGCCCTGGTGCTGGTGCTGTGAGGACCGAGGTGCGGGCAGGAGGAGGGGACAGGCACGTCTCCCCGTCTCCTGCAACATCTCCCGCAGGACAGTGCTGGGGGGATAAGAAAAGCAGCTGGAGCAACAAACGAGTTACTATTTCCCCGGCTACTTAAAAGGATCTTCAGCAGATCCACGGCAATGCAGAGCAGCCCCAAGGCTGCTCTGCACTGTGTCAAGGGCATCTGGTCAACCAAAGGATTAGGAGCTGCTTTTGGGGTGTTATGTAGGCCACGAGCCGGTTTAGTTAGCAAAACATATTTAAAAAGAAGTCAAATGTTTTATGTATTTTTAATGACTTTTCTTTAATATGTAAAAGTGCCCAATAACTTTAAAGCAGGCAGAGGATTTTCTTTGTTGCCACGCCATGATACATGTCTTTCCCCGTTAG